TATTTGTCAATTCCTGTTGAATAAATGTGAACGTACGCGCGGTTGGGAATCCTTCTGCGATAGAAGGCCAGACTGCTAACATCTTGAATTTACAAATGGGACTTTGAGTGTGATGCTCAACGAGTTTGCTGTTAAATTCTGAAAGGTCTCTGAAGAGTCTCTTGGCCGAGACGAAACGCCACATCAGACTTGCCATGAACTATGTTTTCACAAGTATTTGTCAATTCCTAGAGGCTAAAGCTACTTCCAAAATTATGAAGTATCGACAAGGGTTGTTTATTTACAATGCGTGTCGACAAATCAATGCTCAGTACAATAGAAATTCGCCGTTTATCTCGACCTAAATCCTCATGCAACCTTTCATCTGATTGGTTGGAAACAAAATATGAAAGCTGTGAGAAGTGAATGTTGTAAACTATTTTTAAAACTCACCTCAATTTCGAAGAACACTTCCAAGAGCTGAGATCGAAGGAGGCAGCCATCGATGACTATCAGCAAATCATCGTTAATACGCAGTGTTTGCGAGAGACCGTGAGATGGATATTCGTTGTACTGATTGGCTCCGAAGTATATTCAATTGTTACTTACTTACTTTCGGAAAACTCAGACGATGGCAATAGTGACTGCTGCGCAAGCGCAGTAGTCACAAAAATCCACTGTAGATTTTCAGGCAAATCTTGAACTCTGTTGATTCCAACTGTCGCAAGGTTCAGTAAATCACCTGCCATTTCATCATGCGGGTGACTTTATGTTGTCACAGTTACACTCCTTGGAAATCAAATAACACTTAGTGAACAGGCAAGTAAAACACCACAGTCAGTTTTGTTTATTTCCTTTGAACAATTTGGGAGTTCTTTGTCCCAGCTGTTTTCCTGAAAAAGCGTGCTTTCCTCAGGAGGTAATAGCTTGCATTCCTTTCTAATGAAAATGTTTTTAATTGTGCCAAGGACAGTTTTGAACGTGTGAGCTTAGCAGCTAGTGGAATCATAAATATAAAGACAGGTTGATGATGCTGATAACCAGAGGAAACTAGTGCTCTTTGTGAGGCAAATGCACTGGTATCATAACATTTTCATAGTGCCATGGTATTCCACATTCTAAAGACTTGCATAGTTCTCTCGTAAAAAAATGAAAATAGAGGTTAATAGTGCCACCGCCTAACTTTTTGCCAGAGATCGCTTGGTGTATACTTGCATCTAGAACACCCTTCTTTTGAATTGCCTTTGGAAGTAATCCATGTACTTGGTCAACTTCAGTATTAATTTCAGATCCAGCTTGTCGCTTGCTACATACTTTGACGAATCTTCTCTTTGGTGATTTGTTGCTGCTTATTTTCTTCTTCCTTTGTTAATGAAGTGACGTCGTCCACTTTAAACCAAGCTTTTTGTTCTTACTTGTGACTGGATCATTAAAGTTCAATGTTATATTTGTGAAGATTGTGATTGGTGTCAATGATACAACTTTCACAGCTGCTTTTTAACAAAGTTTTCTTACCTTGGACAGATTTCTTAGATATAAGGATACGAACTAGGATGGCGTCTTCTTTACAATACAGAGAAGGAGGCTGACGTTTCAGTTCTCTTTTCACGATTTTCTGTGTTGCGTCATTTGAAGCATTCAAAGCTTTCTCCCGTAAACATCTCGCTCACTCGCTAACTTGCTCAACTCTTCTTCTAGCTCTGTGGGATTGTCATAGTTTGCTTCATCAACATTCTCTTCTAGAACTTCAAAGTCTCTTTTTTCACCAAGAAACAGTTTATTTCTCAGTCTGTTAGAGGGGCGAGCAAAAGATACTTCAAATGGTGTCAGAAAACCAAATGAGTCGTTGTAGACTTTCTGGTACTTGGGGAGGTTTTCTTCCCAATTTAGATCATTTTCACTATTCATAATGTCAAACTTGATTTTTTCCTTCCATTTTCTGTGGGAGCGTTGTCTTTCCTCTGAGTTTGTGGACTGTATGCTGCACTGTTAATGTTTCAAACGATTAGTGCTTCACATATTGCTTTTGCTATACCCTTGAACTCTGTCCCTTGATCACTTGGCCAAATTTCTGGTGGACCATGTTTATTGTAAATGCCAAGTAAGGACTCTGCTACTTCGCTCAACTCTTTTGTTAGTAAAGGAAGAAGGAATACAAATCTACTAAAGATGTCAATAACAGATACTAGCCATACTCACCAGGTCAACCTGGTGCCTCTCTTGTACCCTGCACGCTTTATTTGGCATGAGGGTAGCCTTGTTTTGGAAAAGTGGTTTCAGTTTTTGGGGTTGCTTCATGATGTTCAAATTTTTGAAATGGTGTAACAGGATAATCCACAGTGACTGTAATGATGCGAAGTATGCACCTTTAATTTTCTGGCACCCTAACCTTGTTTCTTGGTAGGCACAATGTACTATTAGTGCGATTTCTGATTTTTGTACAACCATACAATTCGATCAGGTTATGGATTTCTTTCACCTCATACAAGTTGCTTTTCCATTTTCGGTAAAGTCATTGCCCTAAGTTTCTGTCAGAATTCTTCAGCCAGTCAGTAAAGGTTCTTGTTCTGCTTAGAACGCTGAAAAGCGCATCATAAATGTCATCATCTAAAGGGACATTTTTTCGCTGGGGCTAAGGAGAAAATTAAAAATTTCATTTAAGAATTAACACATTGAAAAGTGTTCAAGATTAGGGTTCCTGTAAGGGACAGACCATAGTATTTTTAAAGAGGTGGGGCTAAGACATTTTTCTCTTCTACAAAAGTAACCTCCTATGCCGACTTGGGCTCTTCATGCGATCTTTTTTCCCCACGAACATGGGGGAGGAAGATTGCGTGATGAGCCCAAAAAGAGTCTGCGTAGGAGGCTACTACAAAAGCCGAATTCTCGGGAATGTTTTTCAAACAGAAAAACAAAAACAAAAATATGCAGCCAAAACTTATTCATTACAACCGCATTTGCTAACTCACAGTGACCCAACACAAAGAACATTTTACTTTTGAGAGCCTTTCGCAATGCTGTGAAAACAGAGAAGGGAATTGAAGAGGGTGGGGGAGGGGGTACCAAAATCCCTACTTTTCTTATAACAATCTAGCGTTTCTCAGGGAAAGGGTAAAATGTTTTCAAGCAGGGTTATCTACAGTGCATTCAGTATGACCTGGCTCCCGCCGGAGCTCCGGTGGGTACTCTCTTGCGAATTGCCGGCTGTATTCCTGCATTAATGTTCTTACGGAGTCAAATAAAAAGGAGCTAACAATTCACCCTTTTAAATGGTAAGTTATTATTAGAAAGCTAATAAAAACGTTAAAAAAACACCCAAACCAGATAGTTAATTTATACACTACCCTTTGATTTTACCACTTTAAAAGCCCTAAGTAGTCGTTTTTCATCAGTGTATTAAACGTAATGTTGTCGTAAACACCATCGTCAATAAAAGTCTCACTCCAGCACACATTACATGATGTACCTTGAGTTTTAAGAAGCCTCGTTTTCATGCATCGTCAGTTCCACGATGAAGCGGCAGCAGTCCATGCTGTCGTTTCTGCTTGCTTCTAGTTCAACTTCAAAAAGCTCACGGAGGCAATCAGGTAAGTCTTTAGCATGGTGTAAGAAGTTAACGTCAAGCCAAGTCTTGTATATCACGAACGACTGGTTTTTAAAAGGTCTTGACTTCAGTATGTAACTTAATGTTTTGAACAGTTCGTTTTTGTTCGTTTGGTTTTGTTCGTCTTAGTTCTTTTGGATGAACATAAACGTGACCACATAAGGTTTTAATGTAGTATTTCTTGAGTCTTCTAACAAACACACAGTGTGACAGTTGTATATGCACAACTGAAAATAGTGTATAGTATACATGAGACTGCCTAGAATTATGCAATAAAATACTTTTTTCTGATAAAAATAATGAATGCTTGGGTGTTAATATTTTGCCTCAAATCACTGGAAATCGTGTTTCCGAGCTTCCTGATTTCAAAAATTTTCTGGGGGGCATGCCCATATACCCCCCCAGAGGACAACGGGCCTTCGGCCCCTTTTATCAGCTCTGGCAGGTGCTAACAAAAGGGAGACACCTACTTCAAATCTTACTGAAAGCACTGCATCTAGTGAAAAATGGAAGTTTTTAAACTTCATGCGGTAAATTTGTGTCATCGTTTGTGTTGAGCATATTCTTGCAAATGTTTATCTATCATACTAGCCTGATTCTCCACTTTTTCAGCTCTTATGGCCAAAAACATATACATGTTATTGGTATTCAGCAGATCATTTGCAGTCCAATTTGGGGATCACTTGCAGTCCTGAGATCATTTGTGGGCTGGGATCATTTGCACACCTGTACAGTGCTTGAAGGTTTCAAAGCAGCACTTAAACCTGACAAAACCCAACCAAGGGTCTACTAAGGAGCCCACCTCTGAACTAACTTAGTCATGTAATAATAATAATAATAATAATAATAATAATAATCACTTTATTTAAGTGTTGATGTATTTAGCACTAATGTGCTAATTGGGGACACTGTAAATAAATAAACAAATATTCAAATAAAATTATAACATAAACTATTAAATATAACATGAACTATTAAGAATCCAGTTAGCGGTAGGGCGGAGGATTTGAACTAGGGACTTCCAGATTTCAAATCCAACGCCCTAAACCACTCGGCCACGCCGCCTCCCACAGTATTTATTGTAACTTCTAATATTTATTGTAAATTCTGTATTAAATGTTTAGGATTGTAATACCTAGGTAAGAGTTAAATTAGTTTTAGGTGGGTTGACTTCAGCTATGGTCACTATTTGAGCTACATTACCAAATACAGTGAATAGTGGATTTTCAACATTTCATTATGGTTGATTGTATACAGACTTCCATGAACCACCCATTAAGAAAAAAATTGCAAAACATTGTTCATCAAGTGGCGTTTAAAAACAGCCTAACATTGTTGGATAACTCATGGCTATATCGTGTAACAACTTGTGAACAATAAGCAGACACGATGAGAAATCACACAAACTCTAACTCACCACTACTTCATGTACGTGCTCCTCTGCAACAGGATCCAAGTCTGGGTTGAAATTAACAAAGTAGAACTCACAGCTACATCGTGCCACGATCCTCTGTAACTGAGTAGGTTCCTGTCCAGCACCACTCCCAACAACAGCATTCACCATGCCCCCAACAGCCTCACCTGAACCCACAATATTGGCCAGCTCAGTAATGTCAAAGGAATTCTTATCTTGTCGACCTGTTATAACTGAGGTGCTCAGCCATGGGGTACTGTCTAAACCAATGTTATCCTCTGCACCAACTGTAGCAAAGTACTGCACAATGGAAACAGAGTATCACATGTAATACCTCCCTACTTTTTGAGTTTACCAGTGACTTAACAACAGCTTCCAGCACTTCAAACTATTCATTCAAGAAGCTTTAATAGTAGCAATTTACATTAATTTTTGACAACATTTTGACACTAAATAAACTCATTAGAGCCTACCAAGGATATAACATTTAGTGAACATTAACAGGCAAATTTTAAAATTATCATGTATGTGTCTTCTGCTGCTGAAGACATGCAAAGTCAAATTGTTTGCCTCAGAATTGCTGCAAAAGTATCTATCAGTGGATTAACAGCAATCAGAAGGCCATTTATAGTTACCTGAAGATTTTCTACATTTCCCACCCAAGTTTTCTTGTTGAAGAGCTCTCCCTCACTCCACACAGGGGTATGCAGTCTGTTCAGTATCCTTGTGCTACCCGCAGCTACAAGTACACATCCTTCAGACTCAATCCCTTTTAGAACAATCTGCGAGTTCACCAGTGCAACTACAGAGGGAAAATATCAAAGCACTTTTTACGCCAACTCATGATATTTGAAACAAACATGGTTCATGTAATTCATATGACAAGGGTGGTCAAAAAGATTTGAGGAGTTTCTATGTTGTGTGATAATTGTTGTATCTGTATGTGAGGGTGAACAAGTGATGAATAAATTATAGCCCACATCAGTGACCCATAAAAGCATTTTTAATGAAGCATCAACTTATGCTGGACAAAATATTTTCCAGCAATGGCATTGTTTTTAAAACTGTCTGGGAAACTTAAACTTCATTTTCAGATCACCAACACTTGTAATAAAATTAATATTCCTTGAGAAAATAAAGTTTTGAACAGCTGTCTGTGCCAGACAGTGTGTTACCAATATTTATTTTGTACATCGCTTTGGCAGACACTTTTTTCACAGTAGTTGAGCAAATGTTGCCCCTCTTGTTGCCTTTTGTGCAAAATACCCTGGTTAACAGAATCACCACCAAAAAAAGTTTATTACCCATCAACTGACTGAATTATTTCTTCCCCAACTAACTACTATAACTCCACCTACCTATGCTAACACCAGTTAAAAAACGGTCATGACTGACAAACACAATGCTTCATAAAGAACACCTTCCCTACGTTTTACTCTGTCTGACCCTCTATGAGACTGAGCTTTGTATTCATCTAACATAAAGGAAGGTTTGGGGGTTCCTATTTATTTTCCAAACAACTTATTAACCGCACAGCCATAGGCCAAGCTCAGTTCATGTTCTACACTTCTTTTTTTTTGTTTGTTTTGTCGGTGACCAGACCCAAACTCCCTCTTGGCCAAATTTTGAATCACGCAACCCGTAATGTTTATTTGCCAAAAGCTGTTGAAACATTACACNTTAACATTCAAAATCATCAAAAGATAAACAATACCTTCCTTTGACATTCATTGGCTGTAAATGTATTTTCATTTTTGTCGAAATAAAATTCGTTGTCATGAAACAACAATCATTTCAAGGTCAAGTTTATGGATATTGTTTTCTTTATTGTGGGTAAAAAATATTTTCTTTTGGTTTTATCGAAGCATTGGATTCAGAAGGAATAACAAATTCGCTAAAAAAGGTATTACATCAGCCATGGAATGCGCTGACGTTGCAGCTTTCACTTTTGCTATGTGACAAATAAGATCGTGTTTACTTTGCAAGTTTATTTTGCCAGAAGCGACGGTCATTAATTTATTTGCAATTTTGCGGGTATTTCTTGTGGGTTTAGGCAACTAAAGTGAATTCTTTGGCTCTTTCATCGCAGCAAGTTTATAGATCGAAAGGAAAATTAATATTTGCAAGCCAAGCAAAGAACGGTCAGAATGTGCAAGGATTACGTCATCGGTAGGGAAATGACCACCATACTAAATATAGCCGTGGATAACGTAATTCTTGAATTATGTGACTCATGTGACTACTTTGCTAGCCATTTACTCGTGGAAAAACCAATTAAATTTAATCATGACTTTTAATAGTGTTATTATCTACATATCCCAAAGAAAGTTCCAGATTAAGACCATTATGTCATTGGTGATTTCATAACAGCTACGACTGATGGTGCAATAACACAGTTTCTGTTGATTAAGTGATGTGGTGTCTACAGTAATCAATGACTCATCAAGGGCTGCTTTGCAATGTGCACTGCATTGCAACTGCAGTGCGAAGAAAGCAGTTAAATTTTAAAAGCGCAGTTATAAGATTTAAAAGATCTTCTTGTTTAAGGATGGCACCTATTTTTGTTCTGCGCATCGAGCAAGGCATGGTTTAAGTGGCATGTGCACTCTGGGGTTGACATTGACGCAATCAATTACGCTACCAAATACATGACTAAAATGAGTATGGGTGTAAGATCGCAACGCCTCAAAATGGTGTTAATATGCGTTCGGTTAATTAGAGTGTATATTTTGTATTGTATCATGCAACGTATTGGAATGTGGTGCTTGTATCGTTACGTAATTTATTCAAATAGCCTGTGGGCAGCGCTGTTTTTTAGTTCTCGCAATGCGGATCGGAGGGCAGTAGTGAAATCGAAGCATCTAGTGCAGTTGTTGTCTTATCTCAGCGGCATCTCAGCCATTTATAGCCCAGCATCGCATTACAAATGTAAGTCTGTTACTTTCTTGGGTTTTAGTTTGCACCATTTTTGCTTTGTTTATGTTTGTTCTGTTTGTGTCTATTTCAGTTTTAACCACAATGAGCCACAGTTGTTGATCGCCAGTAAATAAAGTGTGCGTTCTAAATTGTTATTGCTTGCTGGAGATAATGTCACGTCCTGTTGGTAGCTTCAATGGGGCTCCGCTTAATGGCCCTTTGGGCCGCTAGAGCTCCACTATTAACACGGTATAAGTATACAGGATTATACAGGTTGGAATTTCAGAATGTGGCCATTGGCCATATTAATGGGGTTTTCTTATAAGAACATGTATGGGTGTTTACTCGAGACAAAAAAGACTAGCCATAACAACAAAATCACTGTAATAAAACGAAGTGACCATAAGACAGGGTATCTGCCACATTTCTGTTTCTCCATTTCTTTGTTCATCCACCTCTGACCATCCATCCTGTGGATGTGTACACAATGCTAATCAAGTTACTCACTGTGCCATTTGTCCTCCACGACATCATTTACTGTGCTCAAAGCTACCCCATGGAGCTGGGTCTCTGTAATCTGTTCATGTTCACCAGTGCCCTGTAAAATGTTGAGGGTAATCACTCTAAGGTGAGAGATGTATGAAAAGTAGGCAGTTTAACACATTTGACAATCATGTTAGCACTGAGAAATCACGATTGGAATGGAGCTGATGTTTCTAAAGAAATACATGACTTCAGCATAAGTTAGTAGAAGCTTTTGTTTTGGCAACATTCAAATGCAGATTAGTGAAACCTGTATTTAAATAACCAAAAAAATATGCCATCTTTACACTTACTATGTCATTTTGTCTGTGTAGGAATACACCTAAGCCACTGGCAACTATTTTTTAACTTAAACTACCATAATGTTTGTTTGATTTAAAACAATTAACTGATGACTTAAGCCCTGGCCAAATGATTGCAACATTCCAATGCAACATTATTGCAATATTGGTGGGCACAAAATGTTGCACGTGTTTGGCCACCCTATTGCGACATGTTGGTTGTTGTTGGTTCAAGTTTGAAAATGGTAAAATTTGAGTCTAAAACACCCAAAATGTCACAACATGTTGCAACTTAAGGTGGCCAAGCCCGCACAACATGTTAAACCTAACACTGTTGCAATATGTTGTATTGAAAATAATGTTCCGATCATTTGGCCACAGCTTTATACTGTACCTCCTCAGCAAATGCCACAAACTTTAGTTCCTTTTCCATGACGAGCTTTTCCAACATGTTTGTAACTGATACTGATTGAGCTTTGAATGCTGAATTAAGTGATCCTTTCTCACCAACCTGAAAAAAAAAATTGATGTTGACAACTTTCACATAAACAAACCAAAACTGCATAAATTGCAAAATAAAACATGAGTGCGACATTCACATCCCTGGTCCTGAATCTTTTGCACCATTAAAAAAATACAGCAACAGTCCTGAACCCAGCTCCTCATGAATATGGATTTAATGTAAACAGCAGAATTTTGGGGAACTTCAATCTTCTGCTGACAATGGTAAACCAAATTGTGAAAGTTTGATATTACATTTCTTCTAAATGACAGAAGAATTCATTGCTTTTGAGATGCTAATTTTCTTCTTTTTAGGTCGTTCAGCACTCACTACAGTTGTTCTGTCCATTTTGAACTCCAAAGTAAAGAGTAATTTATATTCAAGATTTACAAAATAATGAACAGTGAGGATACATCATAACAATAGTGTTCTTACTGAATGTATAGTTAATAGGCATAAATTTTCAACGTTTGCAGAAACTGAGCATGACAACTTTGGCCCACCGATATACCTGTTCATTGCTTCTGAATTCTTCATTCATAAAATGTCTATCTCTAATGCTTTCAGCTACCTTAAGCTGCACACTGAATACCTTTTTTAGCCCATCAGAATACAACAATTTTCACAGCTATGCGACTCTTGGATAGTTTCGCTGTCTAACACCGCAGGTGTACCTGTTTTTCTTTCTTGTCCACAATTGTGAATTTCAGAGCATCAGAAGAAAGGTTCTTCTTTAGGACCTAGAAAGGTGTAAAGATGAAAGGCAACTGTTTTGTGAACAGGTTATTACCATCATTTGAAAGAAAACAATGCAGCTCACCTGTGCGTTGGTGTAAGCTTCAAACAGACCAAATGCAATACGATGGTTGGTTAGTGTCCAGGCCCCTTTTAAATCATGACACACAAGCCGATGATTGTAATTCTGTTGTGTCATAATAAGAGTCCTTCGTTAATAGATAAGAGATGCTTTACATGCCCAACTAGAGTTCCTCTAAAAATACAGAGGGCATGAACAATAATTATTGAATAAGATTATGTATTTTTTTTATTTTCATGTAGTATTAATTATGTATGTAATATTATGTAATTAAGTAATTATGTAGAACAGTGAAACCTGTATTAAGCAGACAGGGACACTCACCAGTGTCTGCTTAATACAGGGTGTCTGCTCTAAGCAGGTTCTAATAAATTATATTGTGCAATAATAGTTAGTTATTAACCCTTTTGTAACTCAGTGTAACACAGCATAAGGTCAAAGACTGTTCATAGCACAATGTCCAGTTAGTCAATGCATCAATATGGAAAAATCTACTTAGTTTTAAAACAACATTGCTGAACAATGTTAAAGGAGTCTGAGCTGAGCTTTTAGACCATGAAAGGAAGGCTTGCGTAAAAGCGTATCTAAATTTGCAGACTGAATCACAAAAGTATGGAAAATTGCGGGATTTCTTAGATAAAAATTGTTATGGTTTACATTGACATTGTAGTGTTAGACCAGTGTTGTCATGCGAAGAACATTGTTGCATGTTTGCGGATATTTTCATGAACTTGACGAGATGGCATGAGGAAGGAGTGATAATCCATTTAAACAGCACTATACAGAATCCTGTGATACATCAGCAGTTTAGAGAATTCATGTTGTGATGTTATTACTGAAAAGCCACAAAGCAAACCAAACAAAGTTACTTCAAGCTGCTATGGAAGAAAATGCAAGGAAATGGCAAGCTACTGGTAGATGGGCCCAGAAAAAGGCCCTAAAAGCACAAATAGCAGTGCCTGATGTTCTTTGCTGACAACGCCTTAACACAGCAGTATTTTGTGCAATTGTGGCTTGTACGCAGTGTTATAAAAGCCAGCCATCTTCAAAACAGTTCTGTCCAGCATACTAATTGTATAGTATTTTATCTAGTTTTTGTTACCTCTGGCCATTAAATTGTAATATAAAAATTATCACAGTGAATGTGCCACTTATTAACATTTTACTCCTAGCAGTATGTGGGATGTTTGTCGCATGAACTTAGTTTAAGGCCTTAGCTCTTGTGAGTCTCCTGCAGCTCAGTAATAGAGCATCTGGACCCATACATGTAAGTGATAACCAGAAGGGCTGGTTTGACTCCTAGCTGGAGAACTCTGATTTCTTTTTCTGAGTATACCTGTGTTGCTGACAGGAGAAAATCATCTTCTCAATAACAATTTTCTTGGTAATTAAGAGTTACTTGTAATGTTGACACACTTTTAGTGATGCATTAATTTTCTTGTAGCCACATTTCATGTAGTCTGATGTATTTGATGTAGTAGCTTTACCTGTAACTCAGGTAATGGACCATCTACAAGTGTTTCTTGCTTTTCAGGTATATCTTGACGTGTGTACTCTAATCTGTTCATGAAACACAGGATAATCATGACAGAAGTTAGTGGTGTGTTTTCCTTTAATTGACATGTTTCATGAGTGTAGAAATAATGAGTATTAATCCTTTTCAAGACAAAAGTTCCCTCCATTTCTGTAATAAAAGCTTGTGTTTACAGTGGCTGCATCAAACACTTTCTTGTGGAAATTACTAAAATGTCTGATCTGTTCACATGAACAATACTACATTTTATTCCTAATTATTTCTCAAATGGACAATTTCCTATACAAACTGCTAGAAATGAAAGTTTTTCATTTGTCTATGGATGGATAAACAGCAGTTGCAATAACTAGCTACAATGCTAGCCACACACTACTTACTTTCCTAGTGGTCACACAGCTCATCTAAGAGAGAAATAAATACACTCCATTCTCCCTTACAATGTTGTCTAATAGATATATGTACATGTAGCAAGAATTGTCCCCAAGTCAACTTTGTCTGGGGGGAGGGGGATGGAGGTAATATATAAAACTCTTAAAGTCATTTCCTAGAAAGAGTAGAAAGAGATTTATGTTTCAGCCCATGGTATAAGGGAAATGCCCCAAGGACATTTGGCCAGGATTGTAACTAGGACTGTTACCTTGACTCACATAAAACATCGGTCGTGAAGTACATATATTGCCTGCATAACTGCCGATATTTGAATAACAATACTATACATCCTAAGCCTCATATTCATGTGAAAAATCCTTTGTCTTGCAACATCAACCCAAAGGTTAGGATGTATAAAGTATTGTTATTCAAATTTAGGCTCTATTTATGCAAAGTGTCTATTACTTCAGCATGCATATCTTAATAAATCTAACCTGGCTGCTGCAAGAAGATAGTACTTTGTAGGGTCCAAGTCAATGGAACTCACCTGAATTTCAAACATGTCAGTGACTTCAATAAATCAAGGCATAAGGTTTTTAGGGAAAGTAAAGTAATATGATGTTTCCATGACTTCATGTCATCATTGTCAAATGAAGAAATTAAAAATAACAGCAAGGCATATTTATAGAAATTAGGATGTGAGGAAATAAATAATTAGCAAAGTAATGACATGAAAGCATTCCCCTTGCATGTTCAGTTTCTGTGTTTCATTCTCATTCCAAAGCATTTCAAAGATCAAACAATTGAGTTTGCCACAGCATTTTTTTTATGACTTTAAAGTTCTTAATTAAGTCGTTGGGTGTTAATCCATGCTCGTCCCTGAAATGTGTTCACAAGAACACATCCCAATGGTATGTAGTGCCCATGCCTTTGCAGACTTATGACACTTACCCTGGAGTTAGTGTTTTGACCAAACCTGATTAATGCCTGATTAAGTACTGCATGCCTGAAGATCATTCATGTTTTTTAAGTGATTCACACACAACAGTGAGCAGTAGGACAAAGTTCACACAAGGCTTTGATTGAGCACCTCAGCATACTCATCACCACTTTCCTTCCCATCCACCTCTTCCAAACCATACAAATGACAAGTGACATCTAAAAGTTCACTGCGTAGTTTTGCTGCACTCCAATTTGCTGCTGGTCTCCGTACTAGCCCATCACTGTACTGTCGCAGGGTCAGTCCGTAAGTGGTCTCCAAGTAACCACTGCCCAGTGACAGCTCAAACCCTCGCTGTTGAGTGAATGAACCCCAGTACCACACAGAGAATTCAGGGAATTGAAGAGACAGGCTGATCTCCCTGTAGTGTATCAAAATTAGGTTAAGTTAATGGTTTGCTCTTAAAACCATTTTCTGACAGCTCCTTTGTCTTCAGCTTAACACATTCCTCGCATGCGTCACGTGACATGGGAGTGTTTAAATGCTTCATCAACATAAAGGTTACATATTATTCAAGAGATTTACAACTGATCTTCAATCAAGGTGCATGCATAAACAAACTGTAAGTTCTGGGTTAAATTTCAGGTGTGGGTCAACAAACATTGTTTCCCTTCTTTCTCAGCAATCTTTCCAGAGATCTTAAGAATAAAATACTTTGCTAGTGAGGAAATCATTGATCATGACAAGTACATGTACAATCCTTGTACAGTATACCACAAGGAAAAAACAATGTTTCCTCTGATCAGCAAAGTTAGCTCTGCTCCTTATCCAAGCCCACATAAATGACTGCAGAACGTCCTTTAGCATGCTGGGATCATTAAAAAATCCAGCTGTTCAATTCATACCCAGGCAGACTCGTCAACATGCAAGGCATCAGTTCATAAACATCTTTTTCCATTAAGGTGGCTCAAAACAATTTTCAGCACTTAGATTTTGATGGGTCATTGTAACTGCGATTTATCAGTTTTTGCAACAATCATAGTATCAAACCCCTGCCAAATAATTGGTCAACATGTTATAATTTTCGTGACACCATAGGTTCCCATAGGAACAGTATGACCTGCTAAAAACACCCTTCATTATAGCTTTAAGGGCTAATAATTCAGAAACAGCAACGTTGAATTGTTGTTATATTATCAAATTTTGATAAGCAGGATAAGATGCAACTTTTTGGTAATTCTGTACATAGGGTGCAGAGCCACCTTAAATATTGAGGAAATTGTTTCATCTTAGACCTCCATATTATGTGTGCAAGTAATGTGAAAGCGATATACATTGGTCAACAGGTTCAGAAAAAAGCTGAGCAGGAAGCAAAAGGGAAAAGGAGCGAAATTTGCACCCATATCTACAACTTGCAAAATAGCTACACTATTCTCCAATTTAAGTAAAGGGCATTTACAATGTTATACTCCTGTTCCTTAATCAAAATTAGCTGAATTAACCACCAACCTATAATGTCTTCCAAGTGATCTCTTCTTCACTCGGTCACGCCGGAAATAAGTTCCTCTCTTGATAGGTCGTGACACATACCACAATACCACAGCCTTTAACCAAAAGACACAGACGAGTTCATGTTATCGCACTTTCATGTCTACAAGTATTAGTCAGATTGCTTTCTGTGGTTTACCTGATATTTTTGAAGCCATCTAAATGTACTGGCAAACATGAACAATGTAGGTGGGTCACTCTGAGAATAATCCTGTAAAGAGATGAAAATTTCTCAAACTCATTAAAAATTCATCAAGTTAAAACAGAGAAAATCACAACAGTGAAGGAAGTGTGGATACCCAGTCTTAATTAGCATAGATTTTGACAATTTTACTTCTCTGTTTACTCCTTAGTTTTTGTTTTGATTGAGAAGATATATGAAACACTCAAGACAGTGTTTCATCTGTTATTCAAACACCTCGAATTTCATAAAAAAATACTCTGCTCTACGTTGTATCTTCGAAGCTCTTCTCTGTGTTGGGATAACCAAATGAAACACTGTCTCTTGAGTTTGATATACTATATCAAAACAGACTCCAATACCAAAAGAGCTGATTTGTAAAACACTGTATTATTCAAGCAGTCCAATGGATCATTGCGATCAGTCTTATTTAGGCAAGGTAAAGTTGGTCTACTCCCTGGAATTGAAGGAGACCATTAAATTTTTTTAACTTAGGGAAGTTTACTGCTTACAAACATGATGAACATAATCTCTGAACTCCCATCTCCCTTCTGATCTCATTCAACAACAACAATGATCGTTTTTTTCTTTCATTGTACCAATAGATCATTTCATCAACATTTTCAACAATATTTTCAGTTGATCATTTCACCAACAGTCACATTTGAACAATCTTCTTAACTGAACTGGCAACCCAATTGTAGTTTTCAAGGGACAACCTCAGCCAATGAATCCATTTATTCAACTACTAGGATATGATACACACGCACATTTCACAAGCATACATTCACACGCTTGTTGCACACGCATGTGTTCTGCAAAGCCTATTGGTAAGTAAGTAAGTAACAACTTTATTTACAGAGGGTAACACATAACAGTGAAAAAACTGATGAACCAGTGGCCCTCTATCCTAAGTTAAAAATTAAAAACTATTTACACTTGTAAGATAATAAAAATTACAAAATAGAATACAGCTAAAAATTTAAAGATATGATAAAAGTTAAAAATTTAAAAAATCTAAATCTAGATATGCACAACTAAAAACTAAGCTAAGAGTTTTTTGTGCATACTACATGTAGATGAAAAAATACTGTCAAACAAGGGTTCAAAATGGAACATTGAACAAAGGTTTGTCAACATTTGAACATAATCATGGGCCAGATTTTAAAGAAAGAACAGAGACTGGTCCATTTACAGAGGGTAGAAACATTTCAAAGCTGGATCTTACCTGTAAAAAAGCACTACATTATCTTACAATAAATGTGTTGTTATATGGATTTGACAACCACTACTGACAACAAGATATGAGTAAACAAACCTTTCTACTGCACAATCCTGTCTCTAGAGAAATGTCCAAAGTAAGGTTCTGAGACCTGAAAGCTGCATAAGAGTCATGAACCTAAAACAAGAACAGAACAGTTGCAGAGTATCTATCCTCGCCTTTTACTACAAGTAATGCTGCAGCTGTATGCACATACTTGGTTAGGAGCCAGTTGTGGAATCTTGTCTGGAGCACACTGAATAACTGAGTGATGATCATTGGCATCTCCTTGACAATGCCACTTCATGTTAGTACTGGGACAAGAGCAGACATGACAGGGTAAGTGGTCTACATGTTTTGTGTCATCATATCATGATGATCTACTAAGATTAGAACTCGATATTACTCTTTCAATGACACATATATTTCCAAAAGAGCTGTATTGATTTACTCCTTACTTAGAGTGTATGTAATATAAGAATAAGGACATCTTTTGAAACATTGATCTTATCATAATTCAAGTCCAAGAGGTAATTTAAGAAATAAATGGGGATATTATGCAAAAACTGACCTTCAAATAATATAGCTTTCATAATTGCCAAGCAGAAAAGACCATGTTATGCTGAGTCCTTATGTGCCAGGTTGCCATCAACAGTTGCAGTAATCATTAGCTATTGAAAGTCCCCAGTTCTACCATTTACATGTACCCATCCGAAAATGCCTGCTCAGGCCTAAAACAAATTTAGACTAACTGTACGAACTTCAAGACCCTCAACTCACCACAACTTCAATGCAGGCAAATGTAGAACTCGCCGATCATCATATTTTGATGCTGCTCTAGTGTGCAAGTCAAAATCACCTTCAACGACAATCCGACCTAGACAATGACATTTGCAAATTGTATTACACTTACGACCCACTTTAAATGTAGAAGGTATGTAACACTGGGGGTTATTGAGCCACTTAATACTACAGACTGCTATGTAATAGTGGTTTTAGGTGAAGGATCTAATCACCCTCAAACAAGGAGTTAGTCTAATTTATTTTGAACTAAGATGGGATGATTTTCTGCCCAATGTCCAACTACAATGTGCTATGTCTTGTTCCTGTCCCACACATTGTTCTAAACGCCAATAGAAGGGTTACAAGGGGATTCTTCTACGATGCATATAAGATGTTTAGGTATTTGCCAGACAAAAAGGCATGGTGTTCCAGAGGTAGTATTAACAAATAGGGGTATAGGTTGGGTCTTTTGGATCTGATAGAGATAGGGTGCTATTTTACAGATAAACCTGAGACCAGATATGCTTTGTGAAGGGAACTACAGAAATATCCAATGTAAAGTGTGCATTTTAGACTAGAGGTCATTTAGGCGGGTGTTTATCTCTGGTTTCAGTAGCATGAGGTGCTCACAATGGATGCTAGTCCATCACAGGGTGGCCCTAGGCATTTAAAATACTAGCACCCATTTATAAGTCTGGGCATAGAGAGGCACCATAAGAGTAGTGTCTTGCTCAAGACACCTACTCCCATGACAAGTGTTTGATAGGTTTCTAGACCCCTAACTTCACAAACCATTGGTCCAGTCAAATTTAGCTTGTCTCCACTCCCACTGCATCCTCTCTGTGGTATCATAAGGATTTCTGGATGCACTGAAGTATAGGTACCATTCATTAATAGCCAAATGGACACGACCATGGTAAAGGAGACGGATCTATAGAGTTTAGAGAGGAAACAGTTCTCTTAGAATCCAGATAAACTGAAGACATTGAGATGAAAATTTAACAGTGCTGTCTGACTACATGTATCACAGATTGGAAATATGAATTTGAAATGATGCTTATTGATTCATTGGACACAACCCCCTTTTCTCGGTAGGTTTTTGTTTCTTTTTCTAAATTGTAAATTCCCCTATTCATGTTCAAAATATAGATTGGTCTTACTTGAAATCAATGTGAAATGAAGGTGGACAGGATACTTAATGCTATAATAGCAAAAAAAGTATGATTGATTTGCATCATTGGACAAAACACCCTACCATAAACAGACAACTGTTTTTCAAAGATTTCCATCTTTGTATCTGGGTTGTTAACTAAAAGACTGTCACAGACATACCTTGTCAAAGAAAGGTAGAGGTTTGCTTGCATCACGACTTGGAGAACTCAAATTTTCTGAAAGGATTAAATTTCATGTGTTTTTGGTTTAAAGTAAAGCAAAGGTTGATTCTATTCTATGGAATTCACTGTTATTTCCAAAATGATATTTATAGGTTTCTTTATTAATAATTTGAATAAGACAGCATTGAATCTCTATGTGTTAATAGGTCAACTTTTAGGCATGTTTTCACAAGCTCTATCACTCTCAAGTCGCATTCCCAGATGGCCAGCTGGGAAAGGATCAAGTTGTGTGTATAACTGTGATGATCAATCACACCTTTGTATCTTTCTCCACAGTTCAAATATATATGATCTTTCATATATTCACGTGCATTCTTCACAATCTATGGGTATATTATGAACTCACATTGTGACCTGCTCCCAGATGGCTTGAAAGCTCATTTGGTAGAACACTGCACTGGTATCATAGAGGTCATGGGTTCAAATCCTGTTCAGGCCTGAATTTTTTTCAGGCTTTACTTTCACGACTACTTAAGTTGTTTTTATTATTGTGATGATCAATCATATCTTCATATCTTTCTCTGTAGTTCAAATATATAATCTTTCATATATTCACTTGTAAAGATAAGAGATCTAACATAAGTGCAACTTGTAATTCTTACCAAATGCCAAAGACAACATTGCCAACACAGGTTCAATGTCCACACCCCAAGCCATCTCCATAGTATCAATGTCTGAAGACCAAACACGAGAGGTTATGTTTCTTTACAAAGAAAACAATCTTACAGTAACCATCAAATTCCACATACCTGCATATCTAATAACCCTCAGCCACTCTCTAACCATGCAACCGCTACACAAAACATGTCTATACACCCCCCTTTAAAATTTTGTTAAAATATAATGGATTACAATTAACTTACAGAGTGGTTAACTCTGGTAATCAAAACAGATACAAACAATACTATTTCAATACATCTAATTCACACTGTGTATGTCCTGAAAAACTTATATCTTGCGATATCCCATCCTTCACATACCAAACTTTAGATCATAAAAGTACTTGAGAGAACTCAAGCTCCGTAAAATTGTTATATTGCTCCAAGGCTTGCCAATTTCCACTGTGGCTTCTCTCTTAGCTGAAAGGAAAATTTATAAGATATTTCTCAAGGTTATACAACTTGCACTGGGTAGTTTTGGGTTCTTTGTAGATAAATAAATTTCTTGCAAGTCATTGGGTTGATTGCCAGAGAAGGCAGGCCTCATATAAAGATGTTCTGCTCTGAAAACGATAGAGCCTCTTACATTTGGTACCTTCCAGGTGTGAAAAGCAAATTGATTTCTCAAATTATGTCATCTGTTGCAAATCCAAGTTGTGGTTTGATTGTCAGCTGTTCATGCCTTCATACCTGGCTGAAATGACCAGACCAGGTCCTCTTTATAACACAACCAACAGCGATTCTGAATGACTACAAATTGGGGAAAACTATCACTAATCAAATATTCTTTTGAGCATGAACAAGACTTGTACATCTGTTACTTCAATTTAGTACTACCCTAAAGCATGAAATGTCCCTAAACAACTGCAAAAAACATTCACAGCTCCACTGTTACTGAACTGTTATTTTCTTGGAGTAATAATAATTTGGATAGGTGGTAAATAAACACATCGAGAAAATTAACATACCTCTATCTGCAGGCTTTTGTTCTGCACCAAGGAGGATTCCCTTTAATTCCACTGAACGTGAAGTAAATATGGCTTGAGGGAAATCCCTAAGACAGCACTGCAATTTAGCAAAAGAAAATTACACATTAAGAATTCAAGCTTATTTTCATTGTATTAAAATTGTCATATGTCAGTGTCATGGTGATTATTAGTCTTGACTGCCACATGTCAAATGTTATTTTTATCAAAACATCCAACATTTCATTGAAATACTGCAATTTAGCCTCCGTCTAACCATGGTTACAAAGACCCTTTGTTAACATAATTTGACCACAAAACAAGTGTAATTAAGGCTTGGTTTCAATAATATGCTTCCATAGTTTCGGTTACAATAATATGCTACTAGAGGGTAAATCATTCACAAAACTGGGCTAAATATGGCTGAGGCATGCATTTTTTAATTGGTTGGAATCTGTCACAGTCAGCTTGGTAGCCATACTTTATATCCTAACTTACAGCTCTCTCAGCACGTGGTGATGTGGCAATAGGATCAGCTATGGTTAACAAAGGCTTGGAAGTGGCCAGCTGACCAACTGTGAAAGCTCCACATGAAAACGATTAGAAACGATCAGTCCACTCTTTCTCAGCTTTTTAAATGCTTTAACTTGAATCTGGACAATAGTATTTTCTAGAAAGACTGGTGGAAAAAACAAACCTTATGTGACTGAAGTTTTCCTTGAACTGCACGACACCAAAGTGTTGTGAATATGAGGCAGGCTGGGTATGGGCTAGTTGAGAGAAGATGTAATATCAGCAAGTAGCCCTCTAAATATAGTTTTAAATGATCAACTTAAAAAAAGCATGCAACCATGGTAACAATGTACACATTGTGGGGAGTATTGACGATAAGATGGAAAAGGAGTATGTGGCAGTAATTACATGTATGAAAATAACATTTTATTATTGCTGTACAGTTAAAGAAATCTTAGCTGTAGCTGATATGAAGCAATGTGACACAGCTGGTGGAAGGTGCACACCTGTCACTGTTGAGTTGTTTCATAACCTCCACTGCCTTTTCCTGGTCATGATAAGACTCATCTGCCAACACTATGAGATCCAAGCTCTTGAATTCCCAGGTAAGCAGAGCAGTTCTCATTGGAGTCTGCTCATACAGTGTCTGTTGCATGGTAACAACACAACAAAGGTTACCTCTCACTGTTAACTAACAAAATAGGGATCAGACAAACGTTGCAACCCCTCAATGCGAGTAAATAATTTAACCCTTGTTTCTGCAGTAAGAAGTAAGATTAAGGGTACATTTGATTGACCTTACACACAATGGTGTCATCAAAGAAAACAAAGGGACAAAATGCCAGAAGAAAAGAGTGGATGTGTCTGATCTTTCAACAAGAAGTTAGGAGAGCACACAGCCAGTACCAAAACCACGTCAGAGGGCTTAGTTTGGGTGATTGAGAATATTATTTCAAGTAAATGGGAACTACATTTCATGATCTCGCTTAACAGTCGCTACCTTTTTGAAAAAAGTACTTGTGGCAGACTGTGTTTAACAGTTCTTGTGCTGCTCTGATTGGTCCTTTGTTATGTTGCTATGTCAATGTTGTTCACTCTTGATTTAACAATAACATTATAAGGAAATGATCAGTTTTTTCCTTATTTTCTCAAGTTCATAATGTTATGTCGTTATTACATGTACGTTATTATGTCAGGATGTTCACACTGCAAACATAACTTCTATCCCATGTCATTATGTTTATGTTGTTATGTGCTAGGGTAAACAAGGCTTTAGAGACTTACCTGTGACCTACGAATGTAGATTTGAGAATTTTTTTCCTCCAAGGACCTCTTAAGTTCTTCTTCCTTCTTCACTGAAAAGAAACCCAATGCCTTAAAGTTTCAGTTTAATTTTAATACCCAAAAGTCAAGACAAACAGCAGTAATACATAGTAAATTAATAATGAATAAATAAAAGCTTTATTTAAAACTGAAAGACTGATCAGCAAAGTCCGGGAGGAAGACGCTGGTATAAACCAATGATCAGTATATCAGTAAACTAAACTAAACTATTAACAGATCAAATATTGAGCCCAACTCATACTCTGAGAAATGCAATTTTAAAAAACCTTTTCGGCTTCTCAGCCCAAGTTTAAAGACTTTCTTGGATTCTCAGCCCTGTCAACACACATCGGGGAAAGAAATTACAATAAAATCTTCTTGGCTTCTCAGCCCAACATGTCCAAAATAATAAGGCCTCATTGGCTTCTCAGCCCAACCTAACCGTAGTATCGAAAATGAAGACCCCGAAAACGAAACCAGAAGACTGAAGACCCTACGAAAACGAAGACCCCCCACGATAACAAAGACCCCCAACAAAAATGAAGATCCTCTACAAAAATGAAGACCCTTTTATTTTTTTGTAGGAAACGAAATAATTTCAATATAACTCTTCTCGGCCAGAATTGATGAATCAGTTAATATCTTTCGATTGCTTGCACAAACAAAGTCTTGTAGTGAGTATATCATATATCAAGAATAACAACATTTCATCTAGAATAGACATTAACAAGGTTTCGAGATCTATCAACTGGAATATTGATCAAATAATAAACACAAATGTAACGGTTCCTCTTTGTAAAATAATAAAGAAACTGAAAAGAGTACAAATGAGCGAATACAGAAGACCAACGGACGTAGCATGAAATATTGTAATACTTACAATGGAATTATTTCGACATTTGTAAAGCTTTCTTTCATGTCGATGTCTGTTATGCGTCAAATTTGAAAGGTGCGGTGGCATTTCAAAGTTCTGATAGTGTACGACTTTTGATTGGAGCAACGTGACTGGGTGTCGGTTATGTCACGTTTGCTGTTGGGTGGAAGTAAGCATCAACTAACGCATGCGAATGTTGACACTGAACTAAATGGTGTTCAATACATGGGAAAATGAACCTTAGATTGACTTAAGAAAATTGATAAGGAGAAACAAACATTGTGATCTAAGTAACACATTAAACGCAGTGGTGACCTCAATGGCACAAATCATTTTGAGTGACGTTTCCTGCAATCAAATATTCCACACAAACCTTTGAGCTGCCGCTGTCAAATTTATACGCACACAGGTTCTAAGTAGCCAGGTGTGCATGGCCCAAAAATGGCCAAAAAGCTTCCTCTTTTCGTGAGAAGGCAACCCTCCAGTGAATTGATTAACTCTGGATTATCAGAATTTTGATGGGAGGAGCTCTGTTTTACAACCGATGGATTTTAGTTTGTAATAACATTGTAAGATGTCTACCTGACACATTTAAATTGCAGTGGTTTGTAATTGTTGCAGTTTTTGGACTTTTCCAGCTTCTTTAGTCCAAACTCGTTACGAAGAGGAAAAATTACGTTTGCGTTAGAATTTGATTGATATTCCTTTTGATAGATCACGAAACCTTGTTGATGTTTATTTCTAGATGAACTCTTGATTATGTAGTAACACATTTGTATACCAAATGAGTTTCGTACAAGTAGTTTGTTCTTGTTCCAGTTTCTTTAGTCCAAACTCGTCACAAGGAGGAACCATTACGTTTGTAGTAGTATTTGATTGATATTCCAGTTGATAGGTCACGAATCCTTGTTGAGTTTATTCCTAGATGAACTGTTATTCCTGGTAAAAAATAGACTTACAACAAGCAAGACTTTGTGCAATTGAAAGATATTTTTTATTCCTAGATGAACTGTTGTTATTCCGGATAAAAAATAGACTTACTACATCCAAGACTCTAACTAATTCATCAATTTTAGCTGAGACGAGTTATAAAAAAATAAAAGGGTCTTCATTTTCGTACAGGGTCTTCTCTTTCGTAGGGGTCTTCGGTCTAGGGGTCTTCATTTTCGATACTACCCCAATCTAACAAGTCTTCTTGGCTTCTCAGCCCAACTTAAAAAGTCTTCTTGGCTTCTCAGCCCAACTTAAAAGGTCTTCTCGGCTTCTCAGCCCAACTAGTACTCTGGGAAATACAATATGAAAGACCTTTTTGGCTTCTCAGCCCAAGTTAGAAGACCTTCTTGGCTTCTCAACCCTGCTAATTGCACTCTGAGGAATAAAATGCAATAAAATCTGCTTGGCTTCACAGACCAAATTGGAGGTGGAACAAAGCTGTGTACAAGGACCTGAAAGATGACGAGCGGGCTAAACAAAATACAATAACATGCTGGGACGCAAACAGCAAATATGCAGCAATGAACAAAGCAAACCAAAAAATAAAGGAAGGGAAACAGTAAAAACATCTAGGGGAGGCAATAGGAAGACAAGCAAAACATATATGAACTGCCGAAATGAACGGTAACAAATGGCGAGAAAATCCGGCACAAAACAAAGCAAAGAAAAATCTGCAACTGTTGGTGAAGAACTGCAGCCTGGGCGGCCTCAATGCCTTGAAAGGCTGAAGCTTGAGCAACTTCATCCGCCATAATGCCAGCAAATTATTAGAGCAAGCAAAGGATAAGGTGCTTCGAGCATGCTAGTTATGTGAAAGTGATATGAACACATTAGCAAGCTGGATCTTATACTTGCTCTGCAAGGGACTGGTGCGAATAGTAGTACAGTGCACATTCTGAAGTCCTGTGTTAGCCAAACAAACTTCAGGAAAATTTTCGATGGAAGTTTGTTAACAATTTGTTAACAAGAACTGTTCACTATTGTTGATATTGTAATTATATTTTCAGGGGATTTTATTTTAATCTAGTAGTTCTGTGCAAAGAATTAAAAATGGAAATAAAAATAATTACCATTAAACATTAATACAAAATGGTAAAGTTATCAATTAAAAGAACTTTTTTCTGTTACATTCTAATTCGTTGAAACCCAACCTGTTAACAAATTGCCAGGTCTCTTTCGAATCTCATCCAACTTGGCTGCTAATAGCTGTTGTCTCTCATTCCATTGCTCCATCTCATCTAACAGTAGCTAAGGAAAACAAGGTGTGACACAACTATGGCAGTCTAAGAGCAAGACTAGCGATTGGTATTAGAGAAAGACATAGAGCTTGTTTGTATTTTCCAAGAGAATAATGAAAGATAATATGTATTTGAACTGAAGACAAATGAAAGATATTAAGACATGATTGATCATATCGCTGAAGTTTGTCTTCTGACTTTTGGTATGAATGAAATAAAGCACTGTAGAAATTCTTTCCGAGATTCAGATTGAAATCCACTCTAGACATATGTTGCTCACCATTCACGAAAAGCAAAATTCCTATGGTCATGGAAAGACTTTTTTTAGCATTCAAACACTATTTAACACTGGGGCAAGAACGTGCATACATGTAGCACAATAATATCACCTCTTTTGAATGGCTGATCATATAACAGGTAAATTTATATTAATAATAATAGACAAGAAACAACTTTCCAGGGAAAAATAAGCCTTAAAATGATGCAGGATTGTATAAAAACATAACATACAGCATAGTTGTCCCTTAGCTTGACTTCAAATGGATCATCTTCCATCTGAAATGCTATATTCTGTTGGTTAAAAACAGTTTGTAGTTTTATAACTAGGGCATAGCATATTTGGTCAAGAATAAAGAATTCTTCCTCCAAGCTAACCCACCTCCTTGAAATTTAACACAATTTACAAGTTTCAATAAATAATGTTTGACAATATCAAATAAATCTTTCTTAAACACATGTGGGTTTGGCTGGAATTCCTGCCTCGTAAATTTTATTTTGTTGCATTCACTCTTCCTGTATTCATCTCCATCTATTTTGTGATAAGAATTCAAACAATAATTATGTGATAAGCATAGAATGGTATTTATGGCTGCACTCACCAATACATGTATGTCATATGGTGGTTAAACCTCTTTAGCTTAGGCAGTTTGTTTTCCCATTTCGGACCATGTGATATTCTCTGGAGAATAGATGGATAAAAGAACAATTAATGTTCTTTTTTACCATCTAAAAATTATTCATCCATATACGCTGACTATTTGAAAATTTGAAAGCAAAAATTCTCCAGAGTGTCATCAAATGGTCTGAAATGGGGCAACAAAGTGCCCAAGCATAAGAGGTCTATTGGTGTCCCAAAGACTGATCTTCTTCTTTGAGAAAAGACTTTTTTATTTCTGCTAACATTACTTTATTTCTGCTAACATTACATTAACTTCCCAAGAAGCTCCTATGAATACCCTCACCATTTTAGCTACAAATATTTAAACATACACCCCTTGCATAATATCCTGAACAGTAAAATATATTGCAAAAGGGAAGTTTGAATTCACCTCTAAATGGATCCACAAATCTGCAGGAAGTGGTTCCTTGTAAGATTCATCTTTTGGTTTTCTATGAAGAGACTTTAACATCTTAAAAACATTGACAAGCTGTGGAAAAAAGATTTAAAACAGTGCTCAGTTAGATGACAAAAATAACTATGCAGAAACAAACAGGGAGCATTTGGGAGAGAAAAGCTTCTCTGATTGTACAATATCTTGTCTAATACTATAACATACGAGCAAAAACCTCTAGGTTTCTGTTTCATGAGTTTAACACAGCACAATAAACATTATTATATCACTACACCTACCAAATTTATAGCACTTCAGAACCAAAAAAAATTGAAGCCTACATTTTATTACATTTTACAATTAACATTTTACAATTAACTTAACAAAAGATGTTGTGTCACATAAATATAAAGAACAAGAGACCAACCTCATCTCTAGAGGCAGCAAAGTTGTACTGGAAGGGAAAATGAACTTGTAGCATTTCTACCTGAACAATCCTATCAAAAAGGATTTCCAGTAAGAATGTTATATTTTCATATAGTCGATTGACAAATTATTTTATAGTGAAAGATTATATTATGGTATGCTTAACTCAGGACACTTTGGTAGTGTGCTCTTTCTTTCCCTGCGAGAAGCTTGCTCACAGGCTATTTATCACACTACTAGAAGCTTTCAACATTTACCTGTTCAGTAGCACTGTGCACTGACCCCATTCACACAGTGGGGCACAAATTGCAGACCATAACTGGCATGTGATCATCTTCAGAGTGAACTGATTGATCACATTTCTTGTTTTGCAAAATTTATTACATAATTCAAGTTTATGCCCACATATAAGCTTAATTTATATAGTCAAAAAATCATAATCTGTCATCCATACATAACAAAATGAGTGACATCATCAGTCTACAAAGTTTCCAGAGATTTTTCCTACTTCTATAAAAGTGCTGCATCAACACAGTTTCTTTTGCTATGTAATGCATTTAATTGACAATGTCAACTTATTGGGGGGAGGGGTCATATATCCTGAGAGTTAATACTTATAATATTTATTTTGGTCTTTATTTCTGATTGTGGTGACTTTTCAAAAGGATTACATAAGACAGCATACTCATGGAACGAACACAAGCACTGAAACAACTGTAAAACAATGAAAACATTGTTATACTACCAGCCGACAAAGGAGGTGTCACTGCTGTTATGGACAAGAAAGACTACTTTGACAAAATGGACACACTTGTTAATGAGAAACAAACATACGAAGAACTTAAATGCGACCCGACGCCAGCACTTTAATATAAACTCAACAGCAAAATACTTATGCTTAAGAAGACTGACGCTATTGACACTCAACGCTAGTACTGACTGAGATGCTCAGTACCACAACCATTGAATCTCTACGGACTACGGAAACTTCACAAACCCGGTATACTGATGCAACCTATAGTCTCATTCCAAAAGGACATCATGGACTTACTGAATCTTTGCCTTACATTGACTTACTTTCAGTACAATGGCAAACACTACAGGCAGTTGCTCAGAACAGCCATGGGGTCACCTGTTTCTGTTGTTGTTGCAGAAATTGTCATGCAAAACATTGAGGCACACGCCCTTGCAACTTGCTGACAAACAATACCACTTGGGTTTCACTACATTGATGACACTTACCACCGTACATAAAGATGAGATTGACACTTTTCGAGACCACTTTAACGAAAAGAATGCCGACATCCAGATAACTAAAGAGATTGAAGTAAATTGAAAACTCCCCTTTCTAGATTGTTTGGTAAGCCACGACAACAACAAACTATAAACAACAGTATACAGAAAACCAACGCATACTGACTGATTGGTTGACCAGTCATCCTATAACCTGACTTAACACAAAGCCACAACTATCACGGCTTTGACAAGACATGCACAACTAGTTTGTGATACACTGGACAGCTTATCTGATGAAAACAAGTACCTTTGAACATGTTTTTCACAAGAACGACTACAATGCTGACTTTATCAGATGAAACACTCACCGACCTACTGAAACTGCAAAACAAACAGAAACCAGACATCTGTTTCTACAGTGACAATGCCTTACATTAAGGGCACTTCTGAAACCATCAGGCAGATCCTACAGCCCTACAACATCCGCATAGCCCACAAACCTGTAACTATGTTACGTCACTTGCTGACCAACATTAAAGACAGGGATGAACCCAACAACAGACAGGGAGCAGTTTACAATATCAAATGCTCTGCCTACCAAGCTTCCTACATCGGCAAGACTAGCAGAAACCTTAACACAAGACTGACTGAAAAAAATTAAACGAGCAATGAAAAAAGGTGATGCAACAATCACATTGCTGAACATCATCAATAATTGACAAACCACAGAATTGACTGGGACTCTACTCAATGCTCAACCTACAGTATGAACTATTTTCAACAACTGACTCTGGAAAGAGAATTTCTGAGCATTTTCGTGCATATTTCAGGCTCAATTGAGCCAATCATTCTGACCTGGGTATTATTGGAAAGATCTTTTTCTCCTGCAGAACTTGAGTATAACTGATACCAATTTTGGTCAAAGGTGATGATGATGACAGAAGTGGCACAGAGGCTAATGCTCGTCATGGCCGGTCATGGCAGGTCATGGCAGGCACAGGTATCAATGGGATAATTTTCACCACTCCATGAGAGTAATACAACCAGTGACATCACAGGGCTGTTTCGGCTGGGCCAAGATGGCTGCCAATAGGCCCTTTGCACGATCCGGTAACATGGTACGGAATTAATTATGCTGGAACGCAAGTTACCCAGTGGGACTTTCAAAACAAAGGAAAGTCAGCCTGGACTTGTACAAGATCCTTTGTTTTGGAAGTCCCACTGTGTAACTTGCGTCCCGGCATAATTGTTTCCATACCATGTGACCGGATCGTGCAAAGGGCCTATTGTGGGCTCCACCAGCCAACTTCCAATGGCTGAAAAAGCAGTTTCTGCTTCCCAATTATTGGAAAGTTGACAGTGTTTTTAAATAAGGTTCAAACTCAAAATCTCAGACATGAGAATTTTGTTTCAATGGCAGTTTAAGAGTTTAAACAAGACAGAGTTTAAAAGTGAAGTATGATCATCGCAGTAAATTTTCCAATTTAAGCAACTGGAAAGAAGAAGCCTGAAAAAAATCAGGGCTTCAACGGGACTCGAACCCGT